GAGAATTGTGCTATAAGGAACAATAACTTATTATCCATTGTGACAATCTGCTAAAATGCTATGAATTTAAGACATTTTGAGCATGGTACAAAGAATGGAAAATCTTAGCTAAGTAAAATAAAGGTCTCCATTCATATAGTTTCACTGTGTGAGCATTTCTGTACAAAATACCCAAGTTTGCTACAGAGCCTTTAACCAGCTTAAGAACTGGCCATGTGCACTGATGTGTACAAATCCTGTTAGTTAAGAAAGAGTAATAGGTTGCTGGACATCTAATCAGCCCTACCCTGCCACACCTGAAGCGGGTATCAGATTGCAGAGAGAGCCCTCTCAGCTGATAGCTGGCTAGGAAAGAGAAAGCAAACCTTTCAGGGTTTGCAGGAATGAAAACTTCACTTTTACTAGACTCTCCCTGTGGAAAGATAAACCTACGGGAGACAACTGGTTTGTTAATTGCAAAAGACTGACTTCAGCTTACCAAAACTCTGGTGAGAGGGATGTATTGCTTGCTTAGTTCTCTACCTAGGCTATGTTCAGTGTGTACTAGGAATTTAGCTTCAATAGGGTGGGAGAGTTTGTCCAAGTGTTTATTTTGAACTTTGGCTACCTTAGAAGGGTTTGGGATATTCGTGTGCCCTTGCCAGCAAGCTAGGTCACCTCAGTCTGGAATGTGGTAGAGGCTGATGGATCTGATCAAAGACAAGTAGGAAACTAAAGCAGAAGTGCGATCAGACCATGGCATGCCACCAGATGCCCATGATGGATGTGGCCACAGCACATTATGCTGCTTATTTCTGACATACTGTACCTATCTATAAGAACAGAGGCCAAGATTTGCAGAAGTGATTACTGACTTTTTTGGGTGCCCAACCTGACACTGAGGACGGTCTAGCTTTCAGCTACTAATGAGCACTTTAATTATGAAAATGTAAAGCGTCTCAAGTTGAACAGCTAAATCTTTTCCCATTCTTTAAGATCCTAGTCATACAACTTTTCTGAAAAAAAAACTGAACTTCAAATATGATTTTTAGCACAAGCCCTGACTCTGCAATTGCTCAGCACTCTCAGGGCTTACTGCCTTCAGGATGCAATGGATGCCACACTGCGCCCCCTCACACAAAGCACAAGTAGAAAAAACTTTGCCTGGAGATCAGTGAAAGATATAAAAGGGAAAGTAGTCCTCCCCCAACCCAGAGGCAAATCATGCAAACCCTGTGCTGCAGTCTGCTACTTCCCCCTTACTGGCCCTTGAGCATACTAGATATGCCAATCTAAGTCAATGCATCCCCAACAATGTTGACCTTTTTATGTTGCAGAGGCAACCTTTTCCAGGACTTCTCTTCAGCTCTATTCACTGAACGGTGAAACATCATATCTGCTGCACTTGGGGCCTTCTGATCCCCAGTCAAAACAATTTCATTTAAAGGCCTCACCTTATATTCTTCAACATTTCTAGCAGGACCAAAAGGAATCTCTGGTGCACAAAGATTTGCAGGATCAGTCACTCCTATATGTAAATGACTGAAAAGAATGCTAAATTTGTACTTTTCCTCAACAAAAATATATAGCAGAAAAATATTTGCCTGGACTGATAAAAGCTAGAGTCCCCACAGGTTTTAGTGTTACAAATATGTAGCTTTTGGCTTGACCAGATACTGTGCATGGTGTTTAGAAACTTAGGACATCTTTACACATGCTCTGGGGATGGTGGTGGGGGAGGCACTTTAATTAGAGCAGCTCTGAGAGCTGCTCTAATTAAAGCACCCACAGCATCTCATGTATTCAGTGTCCCAAGCTTCAAAATGGTAGCAGGGGCGCTTTAACTAAAGCACCCCACCACCATTTTGAAGCACAGGGATGCTGAATACTTGAGATGGGGAGGCTGCTGGAGTACGCTAATTAGAATGGTCCAGCAGACTTGATTAATCCAGTCTGCTCTGACACGCTGTAATTACAGCGCATCAGAGTAGCATCCCCACATGTCTACAGGCACCCTTAATTCTTAGGTGCTAGCTTGCATGTCAGAAGTTACAGACCAATGCTCTCAATGCAATTCTAACATTTGTTCCACCCCTTCCAAGTCTTGTAAACTACTGAACGTGATATTCTGCCAAGAATGTGGGGAGCTGTGGATCATTGAGCACACTTTCACTCACAGACAGTTAAATATAAGCAGTTATTTCACATGCTACATATCTAAAAACTTTTTATTGCCGATAAAACCTATTTTAGTTTAATTCTGTTTTCACCTTGATAAGCGTTCCATAATCTTTACAAGCTCTCTGGCTTATTCTTCTTATACTGTAAATAATAATTGATTGATGCCGTTTAAAAATGCCCTTAAACATTAAGTCAACATGCACTGAATGTACTCATGGAGCCTGCCAGAGACATGCTGCTTCTTTAAACTGTTGATTTTACAAAGACAAACTCTTTTTATCCTATCAGAAGCATTACCTGCATACTAAATTATCAGTAGATTAGCAACTTTAATACTGGTTCTAACAAATCTACAAACAAATGCCATAGCCATTTTAAGTCCTTCTAATAAACAAAGAATCAATTGAATTACATAGCTATTAGTTCATAGTGCTCTTCTCATATGATGTGCCATGTCAGCTCTTTGGTAACATATTTTGGTAACAAGCTGCATAGTTAGATTTTCCAGTCAATTTCATTCATAATGAGAACTTGATAAAATTGGTATCCATTAAATGAAACCTCTACTGTAGCAAGATGATTTCCTAATGCACTCATTATTCTTATTTCATATAGGCTGTTTCCTTAATTTGGATAAAAGGTACCTTTATCTTTTCTCTAATGAAAAAAGAAAATTGGCATGGAAAAAAATTGCAGGGGGTTTCACAATGACCTTGCCTTGATTTTTTGTTTTCTGTTTTTAGAGGTTTGAAAAATAAGAAGTGGCTTTAGTAGTTGTTAATATTGTAGAATGAACCTTCCCATGGAAACTCCTGGCAAGAAGTGCAGTGTTTGCTCTGATAGGAACTACTGAAGCCAGTGAGATCAGGGTCATGTCCATAAACAATTCAAAATAGCTTCTATAAGCGTATATTAGAATACTATATGCAATGTGATGCTACTTAGAATTACTAAAACAAACTGTAGAAAAGCCTAAAGGATATCTCATGACTATCAGCCTGTATCGTATATACTCCTAAAGCCAGGCTAATTATTAAAAAAACTTGATTTTGTAATTATATGGGTTAGCAGACTTGTTTAACAGGTCTTATTGAAATCTTTCAAGAAAATACAATGAATGGAAGTGGTGGTTAGTTGAAATTATATGTATTTAAAAAGTTAAGTTTTTGAACTTTATGATATATTTAAAATGTATGAACATTAGAAAAAGGAAAAATGTTTACTAAAATGTAGCTAAATATTAAAGATGGGCCAAAATCTGAGACCAAACTCTGAGAATTGAACACGCTAACTTTGGAGTTTGGCTCCAATTCAAAACTCTGTAGATTGGGCTGGTTTCTACTAACTATAGCCATGAATGCAGTAATTTGGAAACATGAGATGTTAACTTATTCAGATGACTATGTAAAAGAAACATGCTGCCTTTAATTAGCATGGGCTTACTATTTGAGGACAGTCTGCTCTTTAATAGTGACATATCTGCTTAGAAAGAGAGGATAGTCTGGGAATAAGCCAAATAATTTCAATAGCTCCATGATGAAATGAATGCACACGTAGTTGAAAAGCCCATGTAAATTATACAAGTGTGGACACACTGACACATGACAGCAATGATGGCTTGTGCCAAGTGGACATATTCACAAGGACAAGGCAGTGCTAAAATACAATCAGACCCCTAATGAGAAGCACTAATTCAATGCAACTTCCTGGTGGCCTGAATCTGCCTTTCCCAGGCCAGACACACCTGGGAGCTGGGCTGGCCTTAGAGAAGTACAGAAATTGCAGGCAGCCTGTGCTCCTGCATGCCAGTTCCTTGAAGAGATAACATCATCAAGGACCAGCAATCTGGATTGTACTAGGTTCTACCTGTCTAAAAGAAGGGATGAAATCTGCCTTAGTACCAGCTGAAAACATGCAAGGGTAAACTAGTTTTTGCTAGCCTAAGTTGCTACTTGCACAACCCTGTCTTTGTTTTCTCTCATAAGCTATGGCTGCCAAGGGATTCTAATTTACATAAATATATTTTTAGGTGTTTGGTAAACTAAGCAATTCATAATAGTGAAAAGGAGTGAATGTGCAAGATATATTGCTGTGAAATGTCCTTAATTGGGACAGCTTTTTAATTAGTAGTCTTGTTTTTATAAGGAAGTGCCAACTCTAAAGTTTTTACTTTAAAATGCATAAAACTGCACTGACTTTGTTGATTAAACTTGCGAAATGTCATAAAAATATTCTCTCTATCACACGTAAATTCAATAGAAATTTGGTCAGATGTTCTACAGGCCCTCAGCCATAGAGTCAAACTGTAGATTTTCCAGGTAAAATGTAATACTTATCTTTTGGCGGCTATCAGTAGAACCTGAAGGATGTACTTTCCTGATTCTGAGACATCAGATCATCAAATGAGGCAAATAGGATCCTTAAAACAGACTGAGGTGGTCTCTGCTAAACAAGGCGTGGGCATTACTTGGGTAGTCTGATCTTTCTTCCTTGACATAAGTCTAGGATTATCTGTCTTCTCTGTGGTTGATATTATAGGCAGGTTGAACAATACAAGGTACAAGCACTGCAAAAGCATTTTGTCTTTTAAGAATTTACCTGCCAGCTCTTAACTGGAAACAGTTTGGACTGGTATGAAGAGGGCTAAATTTTGGTTATACTATATCTGGGGGGAAATTATTATAGTCTGATCTCATAATCCTTTCTTTAATGGGAGTTTTGTCTGGGTAAGGCTTGCAAGCATAAATTTATACACACTGCATAGTCTACTTTGTGGGTACCCTAAGCCCTTCTTTTGCACCAGAAAGCACTTCTCCTGAAACAAAGTTTATATTACATACCAAATCTGGCTTCAGTTTAACAGTCAAAGGAAGGGAATAACACATGGAGTACAGAGTTGTTGCCACTGACGAGATCCAAGACTGCCGGACCTCCCGACTTCTGGGAATACGATTAAGGGTAAACTGCAAGACAACAGGATAAAATGAATTAAGTTATTACATTCCTCCTGCAGAGTACATTATGGCATATATAACAATTCTGCTATAAAACGCCATTTGCTATTCACTTGTAAGCTTCTTAAGTTCCTTTGTGTTATTTTTTTCAAACTTGGGTTCTGGTTTCTTCAGGGACAAATACCTTCTGCTATAAAATGCTTAGCATGCTACAGGGTGCTGCAGTTGTCAAATACACTGATAAACAACAGAACTCTGCCTTTTATTCTGTCCAATAATACTTTGAAACTTTTTTTTTAACTCAACAGGCCAGTTAGCTGGAGCAACCTCATCAGTGGTATGTTAATTTAGTGCCCCACCTAGTGGACAATAAGAGACATTACATAATTTTATGTTTAATCAGTGGATCAGTTTCATCTCTGCTTCTTGTCTGCATAAACTGAATGGAGATATAGTAGTGTAGAAACTAATTTAATCAAACCTCAAACAATTATTATTTTCTTTAAATGAGTGCCTAAGCAAAGGAATTAATTTCTTTATGAATTAAGAATTTATAATTGGGAAGAAGAGCTATCAAAACCAGGAAATTGGAAACTTTGCCTCCTTTTTAAACAGGAAAGAGAAAAGATTAGTTTTGTATGAAGAATACCAGGCTGACACAACCTAAGATTTTCCACTTTCCTCAAAACAGATGGCACAGGGCTAACAGGAGACTTGTCTTTTTATTTGACATCTATGCTGCTTCCCCAAAAAGGCTCAGGGTGGCTTACAATCATAAAAAGGTAAAATCACAAAAACAGATAAAATAACAAAAATATAAAACAATTCCCAAAGAATACCCAAGCTTCACCCCACCTGCTAAAAGAGTGCCTAAATAGAAGGCCTTATACATAGTCCCTACATCCTTGCCAGTGAATCTGTACCTTGACTTGAAGGAACCATTTTTGGAAATGTGAGGATGGGTCAAAAGGCAGTTTGTCTGCCTAGAAAGGTCAGGATTTCACTGGGAACTTGTGATTCTAACCATGTATTCAGAGTAGAGTGTGGCAGAGCACCTTTGATGCCTGCCACTTTAAGGCCTGAGAGTAGGCAGCAGGGCAGCCAGGAGGTGTGGGCCAGCCCTGATGAGGCAGTCACATGACTGCAGGAGGGCATCGTGATAGGAGGAGGGGGCTGAGCAGCTTTGATTTCAGATCAGGCCCTCAGGGGAGCCAGCAGTTTGTTGGCTGCAGCTGTGGGGAGAACACTGCCTGGCTGAAGCCGACTAGCAACATCTTGGAGGTAAGGGCAGGAGCTATGGGGATGGCAGGAAGCTCCTGGTACTGGGTATGACTGAAAACTACACCCTGCTGGGGAAGGATGGTTTGGTGGGACTAGCTGTGGCGGGGCAGTTCCCCAGAAATACCAGGCCAGTTGCCTCCCCAGTGAAAGGTGGGGGCACCTTATAACCCAGGCCCACATCCTGGTGGGATACTTAGAGCTAGGGCCAGGCAAAGGGGCCAGGACACCTGAGCCCCATAGGGTGTAAGACCCTGGAGGCCCTGGTGACAGGGCAGAGAAGTATAGCAGCTTCAGTGAAAGGGCAGAAGTATGTGTGGTGGCCCACAGAAAGTAGGGTGCATCGTTGTGGCCTGAAAGACTGTGTACTGGGGTGTAGAGTAGGGTTCCAAGGGCACCCTGAAGGGCTGCACTGGGGGTGTGTTGAGTAGGGCTGGAGATGTGGTCTGAAGGGCAGCACAGGAGCCAACCCCACAAGCATAATAAAATAAGTGAAGTCCCTAGTGAGAGGGCATAAGTGGAAGCCCAGGAAAGGGACAGTTAGGCCAAGGTAAGTCTATGGACGCATGAGGTGTCAGTTGGGCCTCAGGCTGAGAACCTGATAAGTCCTCAGACCTGGTGAGATCGAGTTTTGGATCAGAGGGAGACCCCGGTAAGTCCTCAGACAGGGCAAGGCCGAGGTTGGGTCAAAGGTTAAGAACTTGTGCTGGATGCTATCTGCGAGGCATGGGACGTGGTGTAGTGGTGGTATGGAGCTTTGTGTAACCCCCTTGGCAGCCTTCCACATTTTACACCAATTATTTATTCAACAAGTCATGGCAGATGAGACAGGGCAGACTGCCCCATGACAGGTGGGCAGGCCGATGCTGAGCCCCAGCCCCGAGCTGGCCCCCTGTCACACAGAGATTTCTCTTATATTTAGTTGGAAAGAATAACTGAAGATCAGGAAAAGATAACATACAACAATACTAATTTTCTAATGTGGCCCCTCAGTTAAAAACAACAACTTGCTTTAATGGAGGCCAAACCATTTTTCTCTTAAATGCTATTACTCTTTGTCATCTTCATTGGGTAGTTTTGTGAAAATGGTCTTGCAACTGTGTAAGATACTACATTTCCCCCCTGAACTAGAATTCCATGGACGGAAGGCTTATCCTGAAAGCCTAGTGTACACACCAGGGGCTCCTTACACTCCCCTCCATTCAACCCCACATGTACCCGCTGAGATACCTTACCACTCCCCCTCTATTTCAGGGACACCCACCAACTCCTGCTCCCACTCCCTCTCCTCATAGGAAAAGATCATAGGAAAGTAGGGCTGGAAGAGACCACATGGGGTCATCTAGTGCAGATGACCTCATGTTCCTCCTCCTTCCATACTAGGGTCCTCCTTCCTAAATTCCCTCATGGCTCTGTGCAGGAACTTGACCCAGTATTTATTTAGGTTTGGGTTCAGATGCACTAAATTAGTTTGGGTTCCATTCCGGTTCAAACCACTAAAAAATAAATAGTGGTTCAGTTCTGGTTTGACTCCCTTGCTCTATGCATACCACAATCCCTATGAACCCTTTCCTTCAAGTGTTGTTTGTTTGGAAAAAGTCATTAATGGTAGCAATATGTTAAATTCTTATGTCAGAGGAGCAGAAATGAAACAAGAATGGGTTATGCTGGAAGCGTTGAAGTGATGTAGTTGTTATGCTCAAAGGTAGTAATAGGTGCTGTCAACCAAGTGCTTGATTTGTTAACAACTGCAGAAAGTATATGAAGCTGTGCCTTCGCTACACTGATTGCAGGCGCTTTGTGAATCCTTCAGTTGCCTCCTCTGTCTTCGGATTTTCCTTAAAATTGATCCGATACTGATCACTAATGGTTAGAACACGGATTGAGACTTTGGAATTCATCAGATACAGCAGTGAAAAGTTCTTGTGTTACATACTGGCAAACAGAAGTGCCATGGTGTGGACTGTGGGTCTTGCACATTCTGCCAGTAAATGGGGTCACTGAAGTGCATGGAGTGCTTTCAAGAAATGGCATTCCTTCTGTAGAACCTTAGGCAGCCTTATAGAGTAGACTAAGAAATTTTAAACCTGTTTTCCCAGAGCTAGATTTTTTTTCTATAAAAAATAAATTATTGCAGTTTCATAAATTCTAACTTCACAAATTTAGGCAAGAGAAAAGACTTTGAATGTTTTGCCAACAGTGAACCTGAATATTTTGTTTTGATATAGGCAAGTTTTAAACACTACAAAATCAAGAGAATTTTCCCAAGTAAAAGCAATTATCAACATTAACTTGTTTTTGATCATTTAATTACGCTCTCTTTTGTAAGCAACACCCTATGATGCACAGTCCTGAAAAAATTAGGTGCAGAAGTAACTTTATATGGATGAAGACTCAGTCAGACAAGTCAAGTGCATACATGTCTACAGAACTGGGGCAAGCTTTGCTAGAAGACTAAATATAGATTTCTTCACCATGGCAAAAAACCCAAACCCCCTGCCCCACGCCAAAACTGTTTTTGATGATTTCAGCA